TCTCTGTCTGTCTGGCAAGCACACGTGCCCTATAGCGAAAAACCTCTCAAAAAAAAAAAAAGAATAAATAAATAAAATAAAATAATTTTTTTAAAGAAAGGCAAAAAAAAAAAACTTGGAGAAATTGTCATCTAAGCTTTACCTTTCCACCCTGCTGTCAGGAGGAAAGCATATCTCTGGGGAAAAAGCCATGGCAGAAACACGCAGAGTCAGAGGGCAGAGTGAGACTCTGAGCTCCTGGATCCAGCTATGCCTGAAGTTGGATCCTTACAACCTTTGTATCCCGTGAGCCAAAAAACCAATAAACCAATGCACCCCCCACCTTCTTACCCCGATCACCCACACTCCGGTGTGCTCCCCACCAGCACCCTCACCTGGAACACCACCACCTTCCCATTGTCGGTCTGCAGGTAATATGTCCAGGTGGAAGAGACGAAGCCCTGGGCTGAGTTGACAAGATCATTGCAGAGGGTAGAAAACAAGTCCAGGAGGGACAACGCCCCACTGGGTGCTTCCAGAACCTTTCTCTGAAAAAAAAGAAGCCCAAGGACAGAAATGCTACCAAAGTAGACCATATGAGCTAATGGGAGCGAGGCTGGGAGGAGGCGCTGTGATGTATTTGGCTAAGTTGTTTTTTATTTATTTTTTCTTTTTTGGAGAGGTTTTTGCTATAGGGCGTGTGCGCACACCAGAAAGACAGAGAGACAGAGAGACAGAAAGCGAGAAATCACCCCCCAGGGGGGATGGCCACGCTGCAATCCCTTCTCCTCCATTCTCCTCTCAGGATCTTGGGCACACGTGCCTGGCGTGAGTTTAAACCACCGGGTCCGGGACACGAACCGCAGTCGACTACATGAGAGTCCAGCAACATAGCCATTATGCCAACTGCTGGTCCTCCAAATTGTTTTTTGTTTTTTTTTGTTTTCTAAGAATTTTTTTTTTCATTTAAGTTTATTTTTTATTATATTTTCTTTTTTAGAGAATTATTGAGGGGGACCAGCAGGTGGTGGTGCGGTGGTTAAAGTGCTGGACACTCCCACATGGCTGACTACGGTTCAAGTCCTGGATCTGGCAGCTTGCTTTCTCATTGTCTTTCTCTCTCTCTCTCTGGTCATATTAAAATAAATAAATTAATAAATGCAATTAAATAAAATAATTCTTTTTTTTTAAAAAAAAAGAATGACTGGGGTCTCCAGGTGGTGTGGTGGTTAAGGCCACTAGATTCTCAAATGGCTGACTGTGGTTCAAGTCCCAGACCTGGCAGCTTGCTTTCTCACTTTCCCTTTCTCTCCCACTCTCTCTTTGATCAAATAAAAAAATTAAGGGGCCGGGACCAGCAGTTAGCATCATGGCTATGTCGCTGGACTCCCATGTAGTCGACTGGGGTTCAAGTCCCGGACCCGGTGGCTTAAACTCACTCTGGGAGCGTGTGTGTGTGTGTGTGCGCCCAAGATCCCGAGAGGAGAATGGAGGAGAGGGGATTGCGGTGTGACCATCTCCCCTGGGGGGGGGTGATGTCTCGCT